ATCACAGTTCAAAGCCAAGCCAGGCAGGGAAACCTGTGGGACTCTTTATCTCCAATTAACCACCAGAAAACCAAAAGTGGCACTGTGGCTCAAGTGGTAGAGCACTCACCTTGAGCTGAAGAATCAGGAACATCACCCAGGCTGAGAGTTCAAGTCCCATGACCGACAAAAAAAAAAAAAAGAATGCAGTAAGTGTCAGAGTCAGAAAAGGAGGTGAGATAATGAGCAAGGTTTGATAAGCACTTTGAAGGTGGAGGAAGGGGCCTGGAGCCCAGGACTGTCCGCCAACTCTACAGTTAGAAAGACAAGGAAGGAAACAAGTTCTCTAAAGCCGCCAGATGGAGCACAGCCTGGCTGGGGGAAGTCCTCATCCCCAGAATCGCAAGGTAACAAATGTATGTTGTTTTAAGCCACAAAGTTCATGGTAATTTCTTACAGCAGCCATAGGAAACTATTACACATATCTTCATGAGTCTTTTGCTTCAACTGAATTATTTTTAGCACAAATTTCCAGGAGTAGGATTACTGAGTCACAGCTACTATTGCATTGCAATATTTTGCTTTCCAAAGTGTGTTTACCAATTCTAATGTTCCAGGCACAGTAACCTGGAAAGTGAAAACTTCATTTAACTTTTTAAAAGATAATTTAGCATCTTGCATGATAATGTGAATGTATTTTGCATGTTTCATCCCTACACTTAAGAATAGTTAATGAATTTTTAGCCAGGCACTGGTAGCTTGTGCATATATCCTAGCTACTCAGGAGGCTGAGATTCAAAGCCAACCCCAGTGGGCTAAACCTCGAAACTCTTACTTCCAGTAAACTAGTGGGGAAAAAAATCTGGAGCAAGAGACATGGCTCAAGTGATAAAGCACCAGTCACAAGTCAAGCCCAGTACTGGCACACACACACACACACACACACACACACACACACACACACACACACAGAGAGAGAGAGAAAGTGAATTTTTTAAGCCAGGTGCTGGTGGCTCACAACTGTAATCCTAGCTACTCAGGAGGCTGAGATATGAAGATTGAGGTTCAAAGCCAGCCTGGGCAGAAAAGTCATGTGAGACTCTTTTTTTTTTTAATTTTTTTTTTATTTTTGGGTCTGGTCGTGGGCCTGAACTCTGGGCCTGGGCACTGCCCTCAGCTCTTCAGCTCAAGACTAGCGCTCTACTACTTGAGCCACAGCACTACTTCTGGCTTTTTTCTTTTTGCTTATGTGGTGCTGAGGAATCGAACCCAGAGCCTCATGCATGCAAGGCAAGTGCTCTACCACTGAGCCATCTTCCCAGCCCTCATGTGAGACTCTTCTCACCAATTAACCACTCAAAAAACCAGAAGTGGCACAGAGTGCTAGGCTTGAGGGAAAGAGTTCAAGGACACTGCCTAGGCCCTGTGTTTTTTTGGTGGGGGGCACTGTCCCTGAGCTCTTCAGCTCAAGGTTAACACTCTGCCACTTGAGCCATAGCTCCACTTCTGGTTTCTGGTAGTTAATTGGAGATCAGAGTCTCACGACTTTTCTGCCTGGGCTGGCTTTGAACTGTGATCCTCAGATCTCAGCCACCTGAGTAGCTATGATTACAAGCATGAGCTACCAGCGGCTGGCTCACAATCACTTTTTTTTTTTTTTTTTGGCAATGACCGGAGGTCTTTATTCTAGAACACAAAGGGCCATGTTGTATCCACCCACCCCTAAATTTTATCCTTTCATTAATGAGGTCCCTCCACAGTCTCACTTTTTTTTTTGTCAGTTATGGGACTTGAACTCTGGGCCTGGGTGCTATCCCTCAGCTATCAGCTCAAGAGTAGCACTGTACCACTTGAGCCACAGCGCCACTTCCAGTTTGTTTATTTTCTGTTGGTTAATTGGAGATAAGAGTCTCATGGACCTTCTTGACCAGGCTGGCTTTGAACCGCAATCCTCAAAATTCAGCCTCCTGAGTAGCTAGGAATACAGGTGTGAGCCACCAGCGCCCAGCACAATCACTTTTTTTTTTTTTTTGTCTATCGTGGGGCTTGAACTCTGGGCCTGGGTGCTGTCCTTGTGCTCTTCATTTCAAGGCAAATGCTCTACTGCTTTAGCCACAGTGCCAACTTGCAGTTTTCTAGTGGTTTATTGGAGATGAGAGTCTCATGGACTTTCCTGCCTGGGCTGGCTTTGAACAGAGATCCTCAGATCTCAGCCTCCTGAATAGCTAGGATTACAGGCGTGAGTCACCGGTGCCTGGCCTACATTTTTTTTTGGGGGGGGCGTAGTTTGGCCTGTACTGAGGCTTGAATTCTGGGCCTTGCACTCTTTTTTTTTATTTCATTGTAAAGATACTGTACAGAGGGGTTACAGTTACATGATAAAGGTAATGAGTACATTTCTTGTCAATCATTAATTGCACTCTTGCAAGTTATATCCTTTTTTTTTTAAGGTTTTTATTGTGAAAATACCATACAGAGGGGTTACAATTACATGACCAAGGTAATGAATACATTTCTCATCAAGCATTGTTATCTCCTCCTTTGTTTCCCCTTACCATCCCTGCCCTCCCATCTCCCCCTCCCAAGTTATAGTCTTTACATACTCTATTTGTTATTTCTAGTAACTTATTCAACTAGTTGATTTTTACTTTCAATGTTTAAATAGTGTTCTTCTTATAGAAAAGTCTACTTTGCCCAATTTCTCCACAATGTAATATTTTGCTGATGCATAATATTTCAACCTTTTGAGATTTTATCAAAGATAAACCTTCCCCACCACCCCCAAAAATTTGCTACATTAGACTTTTTTTTTCTTGTGCTGGTCCTGAGGTTTAAACTCAGAGCCTGGGCACTGACCCTGAGCCAAAGCACCATTTCTGACTTTAGCTGAGTAGTTTATTCAAGATAAGAGTCTCATGGACTTACCTGCCCTTGTTGGCTTTGAATTATGATCCTCAGATCTCAATCTCCTGAGTAGTTAGGTTTACAGATGTGAGCTACCAGCACCCGGAAACTTTTTTTAAAGATAGGGTCTAACCCAGTACTTCAAGCTGGCCTAATAATAGTGATACTTTGGTTTCAATCTCTAGAGTGTTGGAATTATAAATATGTGCAGTCTACTCAGCTTATAATGTTAAATTCCTGTTATTTTCTTTGTACTGATACTGGGGCTTGAACTCAGGAGGGCCTCGTGGTCTTTTTTAGTTTTGTCATTTAAGAGTGACCCTCTAATACTTGACCATGATTCAACTTCTAGTTTTTTGCTTGTTAACTGGAGCTGAGTCTTTCAGATTTGTTTATCTAGGCTGCCTTATACATGCAAGGCAAGCATTCTACCACTGAGCCACCCTCCCAGCCCCATAGATAGATAGTCTCAGCCTTCTGAGAAGCTAAATTATAGGTATGTGCCACCAACACCCAGATGTCTCATTAAATTATTGATTGATTGATTAACTGATGGTTCCGAGATTTGGCCTTTTTTTTGGGGGGGGGTCCGGTTGTGGGGCCTGAACTCTGGGCCTGGGTGCTGTCCCTCAGCTCTTCAGCTCAAGG